TTAGATGAGTCATGTTTCTATGTCATGACCCATTTCGACACATCTTATTTATTAATCCTTAATAAAATTAATTCCAAGTTAAAATAAACCTAAATTTCTTTTCATGTTTTCTAATCTAATATTCCTAACATTCGCTTTGATTTTTCATTCAGAATAGTTCTAATAAATCGAAATAATCCCTTACCTATCCTTCAATTTAAAACAATTCGTAATAATTAAATAAGTGTTCTAAATTTCTTTTCGTGGATTCTAAAATTCAATGCTAATATTCATCGTCTATATTTCAATTCCAATAATTCTACCATTTACCAAATTTTCAACCAAAGAAATTTTTAACTAAAAAAGATAACATATATATATTATAATTAATAGTCCTACATTATATATCTTATTTACAGTGTATCCATGCTCATACATCACATATCTATTTTGCATTTAGAGCAGGAAAAGATATCCCATACCTGCAGTATATAAAAATTATTTCAGGAGAGACGTATAAATGGTTGACTTTGATATTTATCTACAGATAATGGGATTGAGTCAGTTCACAAAGTTGACACTTAGGTTTGTTTGATGACTGTAAAGTTTGGATTGGATGAAGAATAAAAGAGTTGGCAAAAATTTTTTGGGATTATCAAAATCCCTTGATTCGCGTTTGAGGTAAATTATCAAGGAGAATGAAAAATAATTTATTTTACACCCATTTTAAACCTCATTTTACTCCATTTTAAGAGGAAAATGAATAAGTAAAATTTTCCACCCCTATTTTACTTGCCACCCCTTTTATTTTTACTTTTTTCCCCTCTTCGCCAAACAAGAAAAAAGCATATTAAAGCCTCATTCATCTCTATCCGCAATGTTTATAGGTATTTTCTTTATTATGTGTTTATGTACCATTTCAATCTTTAGTGTCAAGTTGTCGCATATTACATTTAATAGTATCTCTAAGATTGAGTCCTGATTCGAGACCCCTCAACCCACACGCACAAAAAAAACTAGCATCAATCATACCGACCAGCCATTAGAGCACATGCAACGTGTTATGCAAATGGTTCCACCTTCATCCATAATTAATTTATTAATAATATAAAAGCAATTTTATTATTAAATTATGATATTTAATAAAGGCAACAAGCTAGAGACACGTGTTTCTCACTATAATTTAATTAAGCATTATCGGTGTTTGCCTGCGGGATATTAAGGATTTATTTAATCATATTGACTTTTGCCACGTTTACAGGAAAATTCAAGGACCACATCTGGGACTGGGATCTTATTGTTCAAGTCGGCCTGCTGTACTGTAGGCTACCCTTCTCCGCATAGCTGAGGACACGTGTTTACAACACTGAATGGTAATCATGTTTCAAAAGAGTGATGGCCCTTTTGCGTACGTGCATTCTTTAGAATTACTGCAATCTTTCCAACCTGCCGGGGTAAGTAAGCATAAAAGGACGAATCAGTTAATTAACTTAGCCTAGATTGCGAATTTTTAAGTTTGACCTCGCTATACTCTAATTAAGGGTGTTTTCGAGAATCAAATTTTCCATATTTTTTTTTAGTAATTGGAAAAAAGAGATTTGAACCAGGATATATTATATATATATATATATAATTTTACTATTAGTTTATGTCTTAGTCCACTGTTGAAAATTTTACTTATTTTTTTTTATAATTCACTGAAGGCTAAACAACATGGGTTATTCCTCCGCTTTACTTATATCAAATTAGTTGAAATTAAACTATATTCGAGAAGACTCAAACTCGAAATCTCTCACTCCTGGCGATAAGTGCAGCAAGACCAATTAAATTATAACTTAATTGGCTTCCAATAAGTTCATTAAACATGATTTTTTTTTTTTTTTTTGGTTAATTAGAAATATGAAAATTGAGGATCATCTAAAAGTGATGCAAATTGAATTATTAGAAATATAATTAAAATTTATTGTTCAACGATATACTAGTTAATTTTCTTTAATTTTAGTTGAAAACAAATTTTGGCTTTTTTTTTTAACAAAGAGAGCTAGGAAAACTAGCTTAGAAAGAGAACAAAGGTAAACCAACATAAGTCACAAGCCAGCCCAAGGTATAAGAGATCAACACAGAGGACATTGAAAATTTACTCTTTACCGCCTCATTTTAGTCTTTGTATGATTGATGAAATATGCAGTATTGAAAAATTTAGCTACAAAAGTTTATTTTGCCTTACTTATGATTGAATATGATTATAATCATGGTAAGTACAACCAATAATATCTTGCCATAAAACTTAAATAGAGCGTTCTATAATTTTTAAAAAATATTTTATTTTTAATTGTAAATTTCTTTAATAATTTATTATATAATGCACTTAACTAATTTGTTTAAGATTAACAATTTTATTTTGAGAAATAATTATGTTAAATTAAACTCTTAAGCATATAAATGAAATTAAGAAAATAAAATTATAACTTGGTACATTTTGATTACTTTGGGGCTTTACTGGGCATATTCAACCGTAATATACATTAAATCACGAAGTCTGAAATGGTTCAAACTTATTATTGAAGGAATAAAATAATTGAAGACTAATGCCAAAATCTCTAATCTCGTTACATATTTAAATTTACCATTGTTTTCCAATAAGACATTTTTAATACAAAATGGCACCAAAAAAAAAAAAAAAGTGCACAGAAGAAACAATGAAAGAACATGCCTGCCCCTGCCGTTTTTTAGAGGTCACGTCGGTCGAAGCAACTAATCTTCCTCAAAATGTATTAACCTGTAAAGTAATATTTTCTAGTAACGAAAGGATTCATAATTAAGAATTCCAAATCCCACTTTAATTTCATTAGATTAACTTTATTTATTGCTAATTTAAACACAAAGTCATGATATGGATTATGATTGCCATTAATTAATTTACTATCTCATAAGTAGACAATTTTACATTTTATGAATAATGAAGATTGCGCGAAGGCTTAACAAAAGTTTCAGAATGTGAAATAATTTGGTATATATAAATCAGGAGTCAATATCATGTTAATTTGATTTGTTTTTCAAAAGTTGATTAACACTAACTTTAAAGGAAAACAAAATTAAATTTTGAGATTTTAGCTCAAATAATTAGCCAAGTGATGGTTTTTTTTCTTTTTTTTCCTCTCTCATGGGGGTTTAGTCAATTCCTAATAAATTCTATGATATATATGGTAATTTTGTTGTCTACATTGAGATTCAATTATGAAAAGTAATTCTTAATTTAGTATTCTTCTTTTTTATTATAATAAACAAACATTATATGTTACTGGCTCTCGTTTTATTTAAATAAGAAAAGTTTCTCTACATTTGGATGTTCTATCAATAGAAAAAAAATTATCTTATTTGAGTAACTTTGAAAACTGGGGGAGATACCATTTTTGAAAAAAATGCGGTTTCCCCTTAATTTCGTTTATGAAAAAACTTTTAATGATGGAAGAATAACATATCGTGACAGACAAAGATTGGGTTGTAAATATTTGCATTTATAATGAGTGTTATTTTACCATAAATGAGATCATTCGACTTATGACATAAAAATAACAATTTTCAAAACTGGCATTAAAACAATGAGATAACAATTTTGACAGAGATAATCAATTTGTTCTGACATACAAATAAGCTTATAGTGAGCAAGAGAAGAAGCCGATCAAGTGTTGCCGATTTGTTAATGCATATGTCAACTTATTTTTTTTTATGGCATGTTTAAGTTAATTATCATTTCATAAAATTAACCTAAAAAAATCTCGAAACACTAATTACATAAACTATTCGATATGTTTCGCTACTCCACATTATTGTTAATTATATTGATTGGGTTTTGTCACGACCGTTGTCGGCGTTGGCCGGGGACGTCGGCAGCGTAGTGGGGCCTAGGGTAAAGCTTAGCCCCCGAGGCCCGTAGTAGCCTAAAATTATTCAATCTGGTACTACATGATTCTCCTAATTTTCAACAAAACAGGTAAGCGGCCATGATGACTTTTAAGATATAGGTTGTTATTGATGATATGGTATTTAAACATCTGCCCCCAATATCAAATAATACATAAAAATTTTAACCAGGCCTATTTTCACAATTAACTCAATTTTTAATTCAACAATCTCTTCTTCTTTCGGTGTTG